TTAACATTTGATGTACAGACCGTATTAGCTTTCCTTACAACCTATCCGTAAAGAGAAACGGGTCTGGAGAAATACCATCAAATCAGCAAGTTCCGAGGCAACTTGACTAATCAGAATTTCCGAATGTTATGAGCCTGGCTAATGAACCAACAGTGGTGGCCGCCTTTGGTTACACATCTGCGTAATGAATGATTATGGTGTTCACTACCTGAGCCCCGAGATTTGGAACGATGACCCGCATATTCTGGTATAGAGCCGGATGATTGCGAAGCCACCACGAGTGACTTAATTATGAATGGAACAATAGCGGGNGTAGGATGGATCCCGCTAATTTACCTTACATCATCGCTTGATGAAGTTTCTACTACCCTATTTCGGTTTCTGTGATGAAGACGGTCTCCCTAAAAGGTTGAAAATGGATCGATGAAATACGTGAAAACATCGTTGTGCAATACCAGGATTATCTTCCAAGACTCACCCAAGAAGTCTGCCAACACTGAAAGCGCTCCTATGCACAGACCACCCAAAGCAGCGGCAGTTGGAATATACCGATTGAACTCATGAACCATAGAATTTTCCCTGTGACCGGGAACGAATGTTTGTTGTTCTTTAAGTTGTTTAACGACGTCTTTTGCGCTAGAATTAGAGACGTCGATCCATATCTTGCTGAAGAATGCACAACTTCCGAGCATGAAAGCGATGTATAGAACTCCGTGTAGTGGATCAACCAACATGTCGCTTAATGAGTCCGGCGGAGTCATATAATAGCAAAGACCACCAACGGGCACGGATCGCGAACCACCTTCACCATCAGACCAAACTCCCAGTAAGTTAATCAGAAAGTTTCCACGGAACTTGCTGGCCAACATCTAGAGAAAAATGGAAACAAAAACCTGCATGTTACCTGAGACATCACGTATAGGTTAGACACCAGTGCACTCTGAAGCATGATCGGTGCGTTACTGGTATAGAACAACTTAATTGGGTATGATGACGACTGTCCTCGAAATCGGATAGATTTGACGGCAACATCCACGCGGAAGCTCTAAGAAAATTATTACATGATAACACACTTACTTGGAAGTAAATCACAACGGCAAACACCAAAACCGTGGCAAGGATATTCATCAAATTGGGCAAGTTTTGACGATAGAATGCCTCGCGCAAAGCTCTGACCTTATCAGTACGTGTCGCCAAGAGATGGAAGAGCGAAATAATAGCACCCTCAAACTCGGTACCTAAGAGATAGATACAACTGCACTACTACCTACCCCGCCCGGTGTTGATCGTAGTTGGACTTATAGCTTTCCATACAATGGTTTCACAAATGTTCGTAGCGATAAACAAAGAGATACCCGAACCCAACCCATAGCCTTTTTGGAGAAGTTCGTCCAACATAAGTACCAAAAGACCGGCAAACGTCAGCTAAAGCGAAATAATGCGGAAAAAACTTGCATACCTGAAAGATAATCAGCAAGCAAATGCCGGCACCCAACTCACTGGGAGCTCCATAGATGCCAGACATGACATACACCGAAGCTTGGCCAATTGTGATAACCATACCGAAAACTAGGGAAAATGATTAGGAAAAAAAAATGCATACGCTTCTGAGCGCCATTGAAAAGGGCGCGGTCTTTAGGTGCATCGCCAACTGACAGCACTTGAATACCAGCAAGAAGCTGCATAATGAGTCCAGAAGTTATTATGGGAGATATTCCCAACTCCATCAATGTTCCTTTATTGGAGGCTGATATTACTCGAAGCCAGTATAGAGGATCAGCAGACTCGGAGGACATAATCCCAAAAAGAGGGATTTGACAACAGAAGAGAAATATCATCAAGGTAATTCCAGTCCATAATACTCTCTCTCTAAATTGAATTTTACGCTCGGGTCTGCTGATTTCCGGAAGTATAGCACAGAAAGGCTTGACGATATCAAGGAATTTCACTGGAGAAAAATTACATTCAAAGAGGAGGACTTACAGCCCATCCCGACGACGACAGACGCTACTACGTTGTGCCTCGTAAAAGCCCGTTGATGCAATAAAACAAATCCACGTAGCCTCCGACTATATTGACCTGAAACAAAACTATGAAATGATCATTTGTTTTCTACATCAAATAGAGCAATTATCACATTTTAATAGAAAATTCTCGCTGGCATTGGGGTCCACCATTTCACGAAAATTTCAGTGTAAGGAGTCATAGTAACAGCAGATTACAGTTGGGGTACCCACTGTGAAGCTGCAGCACACACGGCAAGACGACAACTGCTTCGACTAAGATCAGCAATTTCGTATAGAAAAGCAGATGTATTTATACCCATCTACAAAGCCATCGTAAGGCCTCACTTAGAATATTGTGTGCAGGCTTTGTCGCCCTTCTACAAAAGGACGCCGCCTGTCTGGAGCGGGTTCAGAGACTGACAACACGGAAGGCTGAGGTTATGCGGGGAAAAACATACAAAGAGAGGTTGTACGCGCTCGGTCTTTTTTCACTAGAAAAAAGGAGATTGCGCGGAGACCTCATCGAAGTATTCAACATTAAGAAAAAATTGGTGGGTTTAGATCCGGGGACCCTCACCAAGGAACGCGTGGACATGAGCTTAAACTCATGAAACAGCGTTCTAGGCTGAACTTACGAGCACATTTCTTTATTAATAGGGTAGTGGATAATTGGAATAAGCTACCGGCGGAACTGATTATGCAGTCAAGTGTCCATGCCTTTAAAAAAGCTCTGGACGCCAGATGGT